GAGCACCACCGCCCTAAGTAAAAACCCCAACAAAAAAAAAAAAAAAAAAAAAAACAGTTTACCAGAGGACACATGTACTCACTGAAGAGAGAGGAGGAGAGAGAGAAAGCATCCCCCCCAACCTTTTCAGGATTTCAGACAAGCACACATACGCCCGGTGTGTTTCTCAAGCCACCAGGTCCTGGATTCAAACTGCCAGGTGGGCCATAGGGAATCCAAATGCCCTAGCCACTACACCACAGGCCGGCCCTCAGGAAGTACCTCTAAACGACTGAATGAATAAAAGAACTCAGGAACATAGCATGGAGACAGAACTCTACATCAGTCTTCTGTAAAATGCAGGGTCTGGAAGGAGAGCCTAGAGCCATGTTTTCCCACTGGGGGCCTAGAGCCAGCCGTGTGCTGGCCTCAGGCCACAGGTAGCAGTCAGAACTGCCCTGGAGCGGCCGCAGAGTCAAGGCTCCTCCAACCCTTGGCTTTCTTGGTGGCCTGTTCTTGCTCCCAGAGGGCCCAGTGTTGGGAGTGAGGTGCTCAGAGAGGCTAAGAAACAACTGGCAACCACCAGACAGAGCGGTTACAGAGAGGGCTGGACAGCGATCGTGCTCCGCGTGTTTTCTCTGACTGTTTCCCTTCGCTTTCTTGCTTCTGTTCAATGAAGTATTTCTGGGGACCAGCAGTTAGCGTAATGGCAATGTTGCTGGACTCCCATGTAGTCGACCGCGGTTCAATTCCCGGACCCAGTGGCTTAAACTCATGAGAGACGCATGTGCGTGCATGCCCAAGCTCCCAAGAGGAGAATGGAGGAGAAGGGATTGAGGCGTGGCCATCCCCCCGGGGGGTGATTTCTCGCTTTCTGTCTCTCTGTCTCTGTCTTTCTGGCAAGCGCATGCGCCCTATAGCAGAAACCTCTCTAAATAATGAATAAATGTTTCTGAGCATTTCATCCTACCTCACTGAGAAGGAAGGGAAGTAGGCTTTGAGTTTTGTCTTCCTTAGGCCAGAATTTTACAAGAGGACTCAGCATGAATGGAAAGGAGAGGACCCAGAGGAAATGAAGATCTCGGGGCTCCACACCAGCTGCCTTCCCTATCTGAGCCTCTCTCTGAACCAATCTTCTGGTCAAAGGTCAGTGTCATTTGCATTTGGTCTGAACCTGGAGAATTGTTCCTCCCAAGGCTGCAGCTGCCAAATTTAGGTAGCCAGCTCTGCGCCCAGAGGAAGGGAACACTGGGGACGGTCCCTGCATGGGCCCCACCTTTCTTCCTGGAAAGTTTCCTGAAACATGAGATGGTGGTGACAGTGGCGGTGGCCATCAGGTACGGAGTGCTTCTCTGCCAGGCAATGCCTGCCAGAGCGCCTGCCCCTGTGGGCCTCTGAGGCAGGTCCTGCACTCCCCTCTCTCCTCCGTGTACAAGGGAGCCCTGCTGAGCAGCACTGGGCGGGTGCGTGGGATGGAGGCTCACCCAGATAGTCGTTCCTGTTCTGGTTGACGTTCACGAGCTCTTTGATGCTGTCCACGGCTGGTTTTGGGGAGCCACCCATGTTGGACTTTCCTGGAACAGGGGGGGAAGGCATCGTTCATCTAGGAGCCCTCAGAGAACGGGAAGCATTTAGGCGGGAAACTGCAACACTCACTGCCCAAGGGGGTTTCAAAATGCACCGCTTACTGAAAATTTCAACATTCTAGGCACGAGGTCAGGAGATTTGTATCATTTAACTCATTTAATTCTTTTTTTGTTTTTGAGTGTTTTTTGCTATAGGGCGCATGAGCTCACCAGAAAGACAGAGACAGAGAGACAGAAAGCGAGAAATCACCCCCCAGGGGGGATGGCCACACCACAATCCCTTCTCCTCCATTCTCCTCTCGGGATCTTGGGCACGCACGCACACGCGCTCGGTGTGAGTTTAAGCCCCCTGGTCTGGGACGCGAGCCGCGGTTGACTACATGGGAGTCCAGCGACATAGCCATTACTCTAACTACTGGTCCCATTCTCATGCATATATTTGATCTCATTTAAATTTCATGAGGCCCCAGGAAGTATGGGTTATCCTTACATTGTAGACAAGGAAACCGTCCTGAAGGACCTGAATGGTTTGGGGAAACCCAGAGGTAAGTGACACAGGCCGAGCCATGGCCGCCGCTCCTTCCATGTACCCCTCACCTCCCTGCTCGAGAGTCCCGTGTGCCCACTTATGGCCAGGAGACCTCCCAGGTAATAACAAGAACCAATGTCCGGGAACCAGCAGTTAGCGTAATGGCTATGTCGCTAGACTCCCACGTAGTCGGCCATGGTCACGTCCCGGACCTGGTGGCTTAAAACTCACACCGGGCGCGTGTGCGTGTGTGCCCAAGATCCCGAGAGGAGAATGGAGGAGAAGGGATTGCGGCGTGACCATCCCCCCTGGGGGGTGATTTCTCGCTTTCTATTTCTCTGTCTCTCTCTGTCTGTCTGGCACGCGCATGTGCCCTGTAGTGAAAACCTCTCAAAAAAAAAAAAAAAAAAAAAGCCAATGTGTTCTAATCACAAAGCAGTTTTACATGGATGACTTAAATTGCTCTTGATAAAAAACGTGTGAGGACAAGTGGGGTTATCACCGTCGTCATCGTCACAGTGACCGTCATCCTCGACAAGACACTTTCATAAATAAGAAACTGAGGCCCAACGGGGCAGAGGGAAAACCAGAACCAGGTCTTGGGACCCACAGCCGTGCCCCTCCCACCCTTCCAGGTGACAGTACCCACCGTCTGTCAGAAGGATGATGGCGTGTCGTATTTCCTGCCAGGCTGCCGACTGCATACCAAGGCGCTGCATCTGGTTATTCATCATGATGTAGACGCTGCGAAAGGCCTCATAGGTGTTGGTCCCAGTTCCGTTTTCATGATCTGGAAGATGCCAAGAGAACTTCCCACCTACCACTTGGGGAAAGGAAATCACTCTATTCCTCCAACCACTAAAAATGCAATTTATCAGGCCAGCCAGGGGCGTCGTGGTTGGGGCCGCTGGATCCCACATGGTCAACCTGGTTCCAGTCCCAGACCCAGCGGCTTGAGAAATATGCTGGATCCAGAGTGGAAGAGACTGTAGCATGGGCATCTGCCCGGGAGGGTGCTTTCTCATTTCCCTCTCTCTGTCTCTTTGTCTCTCTCCAGCAAGCGCATGCACCCTATAGCAAATTAAAAGAAATAAAAAAGAAAGAAGAAAGAAAAGAAAAGAAAGCAAATTATCAGTTGGTTTGATAAACTCAAACGTTTGCCATCAGAAAGAGTTTTGGCACCATTGCCTGTTCAAACATTAAAAGTACTTCCACGGTAGGGAGCCAGCAAGTGTGTGGTGGTTAAGGGCGCTGGACTCCCACATGGCCAACTGCGGTTCAAGACCTGGACCTGGCAACTTGCTTTCTCACTCCCCCTACCCCGTACTCTGTCCCTCTCTAGTCAAATTAAAACAAATAAATAAAGTTAAATAAAATAATTCTTAAAAAAAAAAGTGCTTCCACCTTAGAAATACTCGTTGTACAGGGTCAGCTGGTTGCATGATGGTTTAGGCAGCTGGATCTCGAACGGCTGACCTCACAGTTCAAGTCCCAGACCTAACAGCTTGAAAAACACACCAGACACATGAACCTGCGTGCCCAAAATCCGAGAGAAGAATGGAGAAGAAGGGATTGCAGCATGGTCATCCCCTCTGGGAGAGGGGGCACTTTCTCATTTCGCTGTCTCTCTGTCTCTCTCTGTCTCTGGTGACCACATGCATCCTATGGCAAAACTAAAAAAAAAAAAAAAGAAAGCAAGAAAGAAAAGAAATTCTCATTGTATAACCCCAATCCAAGATCACTCTAAAGCGCCAAGATTCGTGAGAGGAGGCCAGATGACAGTATAGGGGTAAAATGTGATGCTCTGCAAGGCTGATCTACAAGGGGAGGTTGCCGGTTCGAGTCTGGAGACCTCGCTGAGTAGACTGAGCTGGGAGTGCCTGTGCCCACAGTCTGGGCTGGGTGCCCGGGCTGGCTGAGGCTGGGAATGAAGTGTGGTGGCAGGACTCTCAGGGGTGCTGTAACTCGTTCTCTTACTAAATAAACTTTAAAAAAAAACACGAGGTTTCCCAAGACCCTGAGTTGCTGCAGCCATTTGGTCCCTGCCCCTAGGTAGATCTTTCCCCTCCCTTCTATAACAGAGAGCAAGAGCAAGCGTGAGAATGAGAGAAGGAACCCTCGGTAGGTCTCAAGCCGTCATTCCCCTCGCCAGTCCTCCAGCCCCCCCCCCGGGGGCCCATGAAGGCACATGGTATGTTTCCAGGCCACCCTGGGGGTCCAGAACATGTGGCCTCCTGCAACACAGCTCAGGACACTACGGCCGGTGGTTTTCCACGATGCAGGAGACTACGATGTTGAGCCATGCAAACCAGACCGAGGGGGTTGGCATCGGCTAGGACAGGAGACCTGGAGGCTGCCCCAGAGCCCCGGGATCCGAGTGCTCCCGAGAGGCCCCACTGTGCTCTAACAGGTCCAGAGCCATCTGCAGGCGCTGAGTCCATCCCTGTGGCTCCCGTGCCCCTCTGCTGGGTGACACCCACACCTTTGTAGTCGGCATTGTCCAGACAGCTGACCACTTCTGTGGCATCCCGGGAGTTGTCGTTCAGGACGGACATGAGGACTTTGGGCTTTGAGGCGAAGGTGATGATGGCCACGCTGACGTTGATCTCGAAGCTGAAGAGCTGTGAGAGGGAGTGACAGGCACGTGAGGGGCCCCGACACTGAGCAGCGGCAGCAGGAGAGCAAGGCTCCTGAGGAAGCACAGAGCCCGGGACTGACTGAGCACGGTCGGTGGGGAGACCAGAAACCGCTGCTCGCAAACTGCCAGAAAGGAGCGTTTGCTGAGCATCCACTCGGTCTGTCACCTAGGGGGATTCAGTCGCCTTGCTCTGTAGATAAGGACACGAAGGCTTGTCACCTGACCCCAGATCACACTGCTAGTAAGAGGTGGAGGTGTGGGGACCAGCAGTTAGCGTAATGGCTATGTCGCTGGACTCCCACGTAGTCGACCACAGTTCGAGTCCCAGACCCGGTGGCTTAAAACTCACGCCGGGCGCATGTGCGTGCGTGCCCAAGATCCCGAGAGGGGAATGGAGGAGAAGGGATTGTGGCGTGGCCATTCCCCCGGGGGGTGATTTCTCACTTTCTGTCTCTCTGTCTCTCTCTGTCTGTCTGA